CTTCAAGCTCTAGTTATCCCGCTTGGACCACTGCAATGCGCTATACGTGGGGCTACCTTTGAAGGTGACCTGGAAACTACAACTAATCCAGAATGCGGCAGCTAGACTGGTGACTGGGAGCGGCTGCCGAGACCACATAACACCGGTCTTGAAAGACCTACACTGGCTCCCAGTAGGTTTCTGATCACAATTCAAAGTGTTGGTGCTTACCTTTAAAGCCATAAATGGCCTTGGTCCAGTAGACCTGAAGGAGCGTCTCCAACCCCATCATCCAGCCTTCTGCCTTTTGGCAGTTCCCTCCCTGCAGGAAGTGAGGTTACAGGGAACCAGGCAGAAGGCCTTCTCAGTAGTGGCACCCGCCCTGTGGAACGCCCTCCCACCAGATGTCAAGGAAATAAACAACTATCTGACTTTTAGAAGACATCTGAAAGCAACCCTCTTTAGGGAAGTTTTTAATGTGTGACATTTTAATGTATTTTTAATCTTTGTTGGAAGCTGCCCGGAGTGGCTGGGGAAACCCAGCCAGATGGGCGGGGTACAAATAATAAATTATTATTATTATTATTATTATTATTATTATTATTATTACTTCTTCAAGCAGTGAATAGTTACACTGTGGAACTTACTTCCCCAGGATGCAGTGGGGAAAAGAGGATTGGACAAATTCATGGAGGAGAAGTCTATCCCTGCCTGCTAGCCATGACAGCTGTGTTAACCATCCATGGGTCCTTTACCTTTTACCTTTTCGCCTCGACAGTCAGAGGCAGTATGTCTCTGAATGCCAAAAAGTAGAGACATCACCTTGCCAACAAAGGTCCGTATAGTAAAAGCTATGTTTTCCCCAGTAGTGATGTATGGAAGTGAAAGCTGGACCATAAAGAAGGCTGATCGCCAAAGAATTGATGCTTTTGAATTATGGTGCTGGAGGAGACTCTTGAGAGTCCCATGGACTGCAAGAAGATCAAACCTCTCCATTCTGAAGGAAATCAGCCCTGAGTGCTCACTGGAAGGACAGATCCTGAAGCTGAGGCTCCAAGACTTTGGCCACCTCATGAGAAGAGAAGACTCCCTGGAAAAGACCCTGATGCTGGGAAAGATGGAGGGCACAAGGAGAAGGGGACGACAGAGGACGAGATGGTTGGACAGTGTTCTTGAAGCTACCAGCATGAGTTTGACCAAACTGCGGGAGGCAGTGGAAGACAGAAGTGCCTGGCGTGCTCTGGTCCATGGGGTGACGAAGAGTCAGACATGACTAAACGACTAAACAAGAACAACAGGAGGGAAGAGTGCTCTGGCAATTCTTGATGTTCACATTCAAATGAATTAATGCGACCTTAATCCAATTACCTGCCCACCCCCTCCGTTGTTAAATGCACAGGTCTGACACACACCAATGTGAAAAGCCTCAGTCACTAGTGGCAAACGCAGTTCTGCTTGCTTTAAAAAGTTCTGCGTAAGTATTATATTCTGGGCAGCTTCCAACATGAGGACAACTCAGGAGACAGGGCACTCCTCAGTAAAGCCGCTATTAATAGCCCAAGTGTCGATTTTCAGCAACTCGCTAACAAATCTAACGAACGGAGGGAAATAAAAACCTTCCAACTTAAAATTAGGATGAGAGTCCTAATTAGTTATATAATGTTCTCCTGGCAAGCAGAAGGAAAGAAGGTGCATTATGGGCCTCTTAAAAGTACGTACATCAGGAGCAGTACATTTTTAAGCAGTGGATAGGAAAAGGGATTTTGATTGTCTTCATTCTGAGCATTTGAGCAACAGTTCAGAGCAAGGGCAACTCATCTATAGGAAGGACAGGGCATCCAATCTAGATAAGACTATGCTCCAACTTTCCTATCCTATCTGATACCTCGTGCCACAATTTCTGTGTTACCCCAACTGTTAACAACCATCATTGTCTGCACTACTGTGATCTGTTTCCTTCTGACCTCGGTGTTTGCAGTCCTCCCTAGCCATGTCTAGGGATTGCCAACATGGCACCCATGGGTGAATGGCTGCCCAAAAAGATCTTCCCTTGTGCCCAAAGGGCTCCCCCTGGCTAAAATTAGACTTGAGGAAGCATTCTGTTGCAGCCAATATCCTAGAAGTTGCAGTGCATGACTGGTTACAAGGGTGTTGCCCATTACAATTTTTGCAGTTGCTCCAAATGCCTGTTTGTCACAAAGAGTGCCGGTCAGTAAATCACACATTTCAAAGTTGGAGTTAACTCTGTATTAGCAAAAACACAACCTCCTCTTCGCTGAGCGTCAGGCCTAAGGAGCACAGCTGAGATTGAAAGTCCCCACCTCTCCACAATCGACTAAGTACCCTCCTCTCCAGGGTTTCCCCCAAGCAATAGGAGACGACGCCTGTGTGCAGCTGATCTCTCCCCCACCCTTTTCACGCCTCTCCTGGTTCTGAGAGGCTGGAGGTTGAGCTTGTAGCAGCAGGAGGGGGAGACATCTGTGACCCTTCCCCAGTCTGACTCATCTCTGCCTCTTGGCCTCCCACCTCCCCTGCTTCAGCTTCTGCCTCTGATTCTGGACTGCTCTCTGCCACAGATTCTCCCTGCTCACTAAACCCTGTTGCCCCTTCAGCTTCCGACACCTTCTCTTCCCAGTCTTCTCCCTCTTACTATTCATCATTGTCCCACCACCATTTCCTTGGCTCTGAGCCTTCTTCCTTTGGATGTTCCCCAGCTGGTTCCTCCCACCATTCCTCTGGGTCCAGCCAGTCCATGACTCTATTGAACCCCCCCAAAATTGGCGACCCCTGGTCTGTTATGCCTTCTGCTTAGGAGAACACTTCACACATCCAATAAAGCAGATTGGAGCCCACAAAAATCTTACGCTGGAATAAATTTGTAAGACCTTAAGGTACTCTTATTTTTGCCACAACAGGCTGACCCAGTGCCCTGCCCTGGAAACTATCCCTGGTTGGTTGATTGATTGATTGATTGATTGATTATAAGAATTTTATTTCTATAGCACTCTCAGCATGCACAGTGTTTCACAATGTAGAAGGAGGCAAGTGTCTGCCCCGAGCCTCTTACAATCTAAAATTTGACATGTCGGCAACCGCAGGAAGAAGGAAACGGAGATAGGATTAACAGGGAAATTAGATGCAATTGTTTTAGTCACACTAGCTTTCGCTTCTCTAAACACTAAGCTGCAGAAGAGCACTGAAATTAAGGAGCAATGCCAAAAGCTTCACAAATAAATGGTTTGGGGGCAGGAGAAGGAGGGAGGATCGTGGATCATTCAGGTGTTCTGGGAGGAAATCATAGAATTGCCAACCCCCTGCATTGCAGGAAACTCAGCTAAAGCATCTGTGGCAGGTGTCCATCCAACCTCCCATTTAGGAGGAGGTAAGATGGGGTATGGAGGAATTAAAGAAGCTTTTAATGAGGGTGAAAGAGGAGAGTGCAAAATATGGTTTGAAGCTCAACATCAAAAAAACGAAGATCATAGCCACTGGGCCCATCACCTCCTGGCAAATAGAAGGGGAAGAAATGGAGGCAGTGAGAGATTTTACTTTCTTGGGTTCCATGATCACTGCAGATGGTGACAGCAGTCACAAAATTAGAAGACGCTTGCTCCTTGGGAGAAAGGCGATGGCAAACCTAGACAGCATCTTAAAAAGCAGAGACATCACCTTGCCAACAAAGGTCCGTATAGTTAAAGCTATGGTTTTCCCAGTAGTGATGTATGGAAGTGAGAGCTGGACCATAAAGAAGGCTGATTGCCGAAGAATTGATGCTTTTGAATTCTGGTGTTGGAGGAGACTCTTGAGAGTCGCACAGACTGCAAGAAGATCCAACCTATCCATTCTGAAGGAAATCAGCCCTGAGTGCTCACTGGAAGGACAGATCCTGAAGCTGAGGCTCCACTACTTTGGCCACCTCATGATGAGAGAAGACTCCCTGGAAAAGTCCCTGATGTTGGGAAAGATGGAGGGCACAAGGAGAAGGGGATGACAGAGGACGAGATGGTTGGACAGTGTTCTCGAAGCTACCAGCATGAGTTTGACCAAACTGCAGGAGGCAGTGGAAGACAGGAGTGCCTGGCGTGCTCTGGTCCATGGGGTCACGAAGAGTCGGACACAACTAAACGCCTAAACAACAACAAGATGGGGTATGCCATTTGTGTACAACAGTGGTGGAGAACCCTTTTGGTCCAGTGGGCCAGATCTTTATCTCCCCCACCTTCTGGTCAGCTTTTGCAGGGTGGGTGGGACCAACACCCCTCAACCAGCCGGCATCATGATGACATCAGGCAACTGCTAGGTTGGCAGTCCCCCCCACCTGTCAAAGGTGACTCACGAGAGTGGCACACCCCTCACAGGAAATGCACTGGTGAAGCAGCACCCAGAACGATTGAACCCCTGCCTCAAATACCCGGTGATGGCACCCAGGGGTATCAGCTGATAGACAGGTGGACATAGTTTAAGGGAAATGGCCTATCATGATTTGTTTGCTTTCTTGTTTTTCTTTTGGATCATCAAGGTGCAATTTAATCAGTTTAGCACCACGTTAAAATTCCACTGCAAAGAAGGACAATGAGTCACTGCACACAACGGCTATCTTACCGTGATTTCGTTTTATTATTATTATCATTATTAAGAACACAGATTGATTTGCAGATCATATGAGACCAGGTACAGTCATTGAAACAGGCACCGAGCAAGAGAAAGAATTCAAAAGGGCTTCGTTTGTAACTAACTGCAGTCAGGGACCTATTATTTCCTCCCAGTTGCAGACCAGATTCCACCCCACAATTTAAACAGGGAAAACAGCAGTGTTAAATAAATAATGCAGGGTGGTTTTTTTAAAGGAACGGTAAGGCAGTTCTGGGTTTGGGAAAACTCCAAACCCAGAGGAAAACCTGTTCTACTTGGGCAAAGCTGAATTCACAAGAATGTATGCTGGTGCTGACTTGGAGAATAGCGTATGAGAAGGTCTGTAGAGTTATTGCCTTAGTTCCTATCCCATGGAGCTGCCTTTATTGGGGAAGGGCTGTGGCTTAGGGGCAGAGCATCTGTTTTGTGTGCATAAGGCCCAGATTCGAATCCTGCAACTTCCCAGGCTGGAAAATACCCTCTGCCTGAAACCAAGTCAAACCAGTTTTTTCTCAAACTTGGGCCTCCGGCTGTTGTAAGACTACAGATCCCATCATCCCTGACTGCTGGTCCTGGTAGCTAGGGAGGATGGGAGTTGTAGTCCACCAAGAGCCAGAGACCCGAGTTTGAGAAAAACTGCAATAAGTAGACAATACTGAGCTCAATGGCCCAATTCAGTATAAGGCAGCTGCCAATCTTCCTGTATGTGCTGGTGACGGTTTCTAAAGCCTCAACTACGTGGCTATATGAAATCTCTAAATAAGGGCCAATGGGGGGAGGGAAGAGAAATTTCAGAGCCAAGCAACTACATTCCACCCTGATTTGCAGCGCCACCATTGCCCTACTGCCGGTCTTCGCCAGCAGCAGGATTGAGCCCTCGGAAGGTTGCGCTTCAGCCGTTGTGCCAAGGGCTCAGGCGGTCTCGCATTCCGTGGTTTCGGTGAGGCACATGCCGCAGTCACACCGAATGGCCTTGAGGTACGTGTAGAATGGGCTGACATTGGCCGCACAGTTTGGCAGCTTCACCGTCTCCAGCTTGGTCTCGTTGTAAGTGCAGACGCGGTGGTGAGCTTCGATGTAAGGGGGTTTCAGCACAGGTTTCTGGCCACAAGGGAGGCAGAGAGTGAGAGAGGGAGAGAAGGAAGAGAGATGGAGAGAGGAGATGTTAGCCTAAGCATGGCTGTATGGACATATGCGACTGTCTTTGGAGCAAGCTTGTTTTCTCCTGCTCCAGAGGGTAGGGCCAAAACTAATGGCTTCAGGTTACACAAAAGGAGATTCCGAATAATAATAATAATAATAATTGTTGTTGTTGTTGTTGTTGTTGTTAGAATTTTATTATTACAGTCACAGACCAGTTCCGGGTCACTTACAATATCAGGGAAATCATAAAACGCAACAGGAATACATTGAATTGCAATTGGGACAATTCAGATATAGCGGCAGTTTCAAAAATATATTAAATCTTGATCACTAAAATATAACCTAAAATTATCATTTAAAACCTTGAGCATTTTGGTAGTACAGCTTGTTCCCTAAGTTTTATGGCAGTCGCACATAATTTGGCCACCCTTAGCGTAATCTCTAGATCCTTGTCCTCTACCAGGAGTTGTTTTTATTATTATTTTATTTATTTATTTATTTATTTATTTATTTATTCATTCATTCATTCATTCATTCATTCCCTGCACATATGGCTGGGTTTCCCCAGGCACTCTGGGCTGCTCCCAACAGAATAATAAAAACACGCTAAAACATCAAACGTTAAAAACTTCCCTAAACAGGGTTGCTTTCAGTTGTCTTCTAAAAGTCAGGTAGTTGTTTATTTCCTTGACATCCGACAAGAGGGCGTTCCACAGGGCAGGCGCCACCACCGAGAAGGCCCTCTGCCTGGTTCCCTGTAACCTCGCTTCTCGCAGTGAGGGAACTGCCAGAAGGCCCTCAGAGCTGGACCTCAGTGTCCGGCCTGAGCATGAGGAAGAACTTTCTGATGGTAAGAGCCATGCAGCAGTGAAACGGACTCCTGTGTTTTGATTCTATAAACGTTTAATTGTTCTAAATTGTTTTTGCTCTGAATTTTTTTAGTTGTTCCTATATTATCTGTATGCCACCTTGAATCACTGTCAGGGAAAGAAGCAGGGTAGAAATAAATGACATAATAGTCATAGTTTCTGAAGGGCTGTCATGGAAGATGGAGCAAGATTGTTTTCTGCTGCTCTAGAGGGTAGGACCCGAACCAGCGGCTTCAACTTACAGGAAAGGAGATTCCGACTAAACATCAGGAAGAACTTTCTGACAGAGTCAGAGCTGTTGGACAGTGGAACAGTCTGCCTCAGGAGGTTGTGGCCTCTCCTTCCTTGGAGGTTTCAAAACAGAGACTGGATGGCCATCTGTCATGGATGCTTTAGTCGGGATTCCTGCATTGTCAGAGATTGGACCCTCAAGGGACCTTCCAACTCTACAGTTCTATGAGTCTATGAAATAAGTTTGTCCTCAGCATTCACCAAAACCTGCATATAGTGAAGGTGTCAGACTGGTGACTGGGAGCGTCCACCGAGATCACATAACACCGGTCTTGATAGGCCTACATTGGCTCCCAGTACGTTTCCGAGCACAATTCAAAGTGTTGGTACTGACCTTTAAAGCCCTAAACAGCCTCAGTCCAGTATATCTGAAGGAGAGTCTCCACCCCCATCGTTCTAGCCGGACACTGAGGTCCATCGCCAAGGGCCTTCTGGCAGTTCCTTTGCTGAGAGACGCCAAGTTACAGGGAACCAGGCAGAGGGCCTTCTCGGTAGTGGCACCCACCCTGTGGAAAACCCTCCCACCAGATGTCAAAGAGAACAACAACTACCAGACTTTTAGAAGACATCTGAAAGCAGCCCTGTTTAGGGAAGCTTTTAATGTTTGATGCATTACTGTATTTTAATATTTTGTTGGAAGCCGCCCAAAGTGGCTGGGAAAGCCCAGCCAGATGGGCAGGGTATGAATAATAAATTATTATTATATGTTGAGAGAGAGTTTCACAACTTAGTGGCTGCCACAGGAGATGTCCTCTCCTGGGCTACAGCCACCCTCAGCTTCTGAGGGCAGTGGAACATGTAAGAGGGCCTCCTCTGTCAGTCTTAACACCCAGGAAGATCTATAGAGAAGGAGGTGATCTTTCAGGAACTTGGGACTTGTGGGCTTTCCAGATCATAGCCAGTCCTTTGAATTTCCTCAGTGAGAAAAGTGAGAATGAAAGCATTTATTTCTCCATCACAAGATTTTATACACAAACACACACACGTGGGGAATCAGGCTCAGAGCTCCTGGTGTGTGAAATGAAAAGGAGTCTAAAATTAGTCACAATCTTGTTCTGCTTAATGTGCATGGACTTGCTTGCCCTGTTTTGTCACACCCACTCACAAACACCTAACAGCACAATTACCACAACTCTGAGGCAACCAAAATTAGAAGCAAACATATTACTGGGATATGGAATAAAAGGCATCCCCTGTGAGTCAGGGGCTCTATTTTAATCCCCGAGGAATTTTCTGTCGGTGGAGCAATAAAGGACAGTTCCCCCTTAAGTGCTTAAGCTGTAAGGAGCTTTCGAAATTATATAATAAGAGCATTAAGTAATTGCTTGAGAATATATTTTGCCATGCAACTACTAAGGCGTTCTTAAGAAGAAAGAGGTGGAAACCTGCCGTGTGGAATTTTTAAACAAGTGGCTCTCATTTGAGATGCTGCCCCACTGCAAATATGCAATATTCGGTGATGTCAGCTATTTGTCTGTCAGAACAAGCCATTAAAAACCTCTGGAAAGTTACAAAGTAAGGATGGCAGACAAATTCTGTTCAGTTCACATTTAATGGTAAACCAACCAAATCGGCACTTTCCAGAATAATATGTGAACCAAATCACAGCCCTCTCTCAAAATTCTCGACCCTCCAATTTTTTCAGTTCCGTTCTACAGCCAAGTAATATGTGCAAAATTGCACACACTGTGGTAAAGTGTGCATGAAAAATTGCATATATTCATGAAAATTAACTCAAAAAATGTGTACGTTAAGCAAAAATGCATATCAAAATGTGTATGTGAAAAGAAATTGGCACTAAAATGCTGGTGGATTTTAATGAGTACCTTTAAAATGTTTGTTTGTTTGTTTGTTTTATTAAATTCATATACTGCCCTCCATCCGAAGATCACAGGGAGGTTCGCAGCATAAAAATACAAAATGGTAACACAAACTACATAATAAAACAAAAGCAAAAGCAAAGCAACTAATAACGATGTGGAAATATGGAGAAGATTGGAAAAATAAGAAACTGAGGAATACTGAAATGGACCGATTTGCCCAGGCCAAATTACAAGTATCGTGTCCATGTGTCCTTTATTACAGAGGATAGTCCCCTGTTTGAAGGAATGTCCAGACCAAGTCCAGATTAAAGATAAAGAACCCTCAAAAGAGAGAGTGTATCATGGAAGGCCACTGTTATTTTGAGGAGCTTTTAAGTGGGGAACAACAAGGCTCCTTATGGCATTTATGGTGCCTCCCCTTTCATCCCCTAACTCTAGTGCAGGGGGAAGGTCTGTGGTTCAGTGGTACAGCATCTGCACACAGAAGATGCCAACTTTGATCCTCAGCATCTCTAGGTAGGGCTGGGAAAGAGCCCTTATTCAAACCCCTTGGGAGCCCCTGCCACTCACCTCCCAAGTCTGACAACGGCCCCAGCAGGAGTCTGTCGTAATTCGCATCGCCTTGCAGCCAGGCTTCTTGGCCAGGAAAGTGAACTCACGCACGGCACAACCAGTGAATGTTTGAAGGTTGATGCTGGGGGGCTTGGGGGCACCAGCCCAGCTGGCCAGGATGAAGAGAAGCAGTGAGCCTTGGACCACGGATGGGAGCTTCATTCTGTGAGGGAAACCGCAAAGACGGGGACTTGTTAAAGAAGCTTGCTTGGGGCATGTTCTGCATCAGAACTGGGCCTTCCTGATGTCTTTGAACTCCAATTCCCATAATCCACAGCCAGTATGGCCAACAGTTGAGGATGATGGGTATTGTAGGCCAACAACATCTGGAAGACCCACCCCATCCTTCTTCTGCATAATCAAGATCCCACCTTGAGGTCCTTTGACCAAGTTACTTCAACCACACCTTATTGCTGATATCTTGGACCTCCGTCTCATTACAATGACCTCTTTCTGATGGCTTGTTTTTTGTGAACAGTTTTGGCAGTGCTGAAAAACAGCTCCTCATCTGGGTGATTTTTTTTGGGCAGCCAGCAAGAAAGATCACTTACACATTTATATGGTCTTCCATCACCCTCATTTGCCCTCAGTGCTATCAATAGATGACAATATCAAACTGCCCTGGGGATTATTTGAAGGCTGGAGGAGAAGTAAATAAACAATACACAAATCGTGCGGCCAAGTCTGGCTATAATTGGCTATGCTTTTATTCACTGATATCTGAGAATAACATCATGTTATATCATCCCATCCATCTCCACTACATGGGATCATTCATGTGCCTTGTTCAAGAAGGTGGAAGGTGGAATTTGGAAAATCAATCAAAATTAATTGGCAAAATAAAAATGGAAAATCAATAAAAATTAATTGGCAAATAGGTGGAAGGTGGAAGGAGACAGGGGAGGCACCACCCTAAAATGATGTTGAAGGGTCAGGACATCAACTATGTAAAAAAAATAAAAGTTGAGAATTTTCACTACTTGAAAAGCCTTTGTTCTGCTGGAAATGATTGTTTCAATCCCCAGACAGGAATTATTAAACATTTGGTGCCCCCTCCCATTTTTATATCCCTTTCAGTTTTGCAGTGTTTCCAGTGTGGGGAAATTCAACATCTCTCTGGCTGCATGTCTGAGGCTGAAAATCTTCTAGCCAGTTTCTACCTGAACTCAAATAGGGGCTATCTTTAGCATATGCGCCACCGGGGTGCAAAGATCCGCCCAGCGCCCCCAAATTTAGTTTAGTTCCCAAATTAACTTTTATTATGCTTATGTCAGACACCATGCTTACGCCTTATCTCTTGTTTACAAAAGAAGGGAGGAAAAAGAAATGTGTTTCTCGCTTAGCGTTCATCGTAAAATGAAGAAAAAATGCAGCTCGCGGAATTCATAGTGTGTGCTCTAGGCACGCTTTTGCGGAAATGGAAAACTAAAATCGTGTCATGCTGAAATGCATGTGTAGTAGAGTCCTAATTTTTTTAACAATGTCTCTAAATGAATTTGACCGGTAAGTGATGAAATTAAAATGTGCCATTGTGAATGATAAGCGTCACCGCGAGCATTGCGCATCTTTGGTAAATGAGCACACAAAGTCAAAAGTCCTTTTGTGAAACAGTAGGTATAAAGGACCCCTGACCATTAGGTCCAGTCATGGCCGACTCTGGGGTTGCAGCGCTCATCTCGCTTTATTGGCCAAGTGAGCTGGCATACAGCTTCCGGGTCATGTGGCCAGCATGACTAAGCCGCTTCTGGCGAACCAGAGCAGTGCATGGAAACGCCGTTTACCTTCCCGCCAGAGCAGTACCTATTTATCTACTTGCACTTTGACGTGCTTTCGAACTGCTAGGTTGGCAGGAGCTGGGACCGAGCAACGGGAGCTCACCCCGTCGTGGGGATTCGAACCACTAACCTTCTGATCAGCAAGCCCTAGTCTCTGTGATTTAACCCACAGCGCCACCTTGGTAAATGAGTGCACAAAGTCGAAAGTCCTTTCATGAAACATTAGGTATACATTTCAGTAATACCTAGGTATGTATGTATTTTGTTTTTCTAGCTTGATCAAAATTAGATAGTTAAGAGCTTAGGCGGCTTCAGCGGTGGGTGCCTGGCACCCCCCAGAATTCGGCACCCGGGTGCCCCGCACCCTTTGCACCCCCCGGTAAAGATGGCCCTGAACTCAATGGGACTTGCTTTTGAGATTGCATGTATAGAGCTGTTCTGTTAGGCTTAGAAGAAATTCATACTAGTTTTACACCAGTTTTATCCTCAGTGCTTCCCCAACCCCCAAATGAATCCTGGGAACTGTAGTCTGGTGATATGAGAATTCTGTATCAGAGATCCATAACCCTTGTGTCAAAGAACTACACTTCCCAAGATTCTCAAGGAAGAGAGAAAGCCTGTTTATTTTAGGACAAAGCACAGAATTACCTGTAGGGAAACACAAGATTTAGTTTTCCATACTGGGGCAGGGGAAGGACTTGCCTAAAACAGAAGTCTTGACAAAATACAAAACCTAGTGTTGGAGCAGGAGACTTCTCTTCCAGAGCAGTAAAGTACAGGCTTATTAGCAGCCATTACTAAGTTGTTAATGATGCTCATTTTATCCTTGTAACAACCCAGAAATGGAAGGAGGGAGGGGCAGTGGGTGGGTTTACGGGTAGTGATAGTTAAAGCTATGGTTTTCTCAGTAGTGATGTATGGAAGTGAGAGCTGGACCATAAAGAAGGCTGATCGCCGAAGAATTGATGCTTTTGAATTCTGGTGCTGGAGGAGATTCATGAGAGTCCCATGGACTGCAAGAAGATCAAACCTCTCCATTCTGCAAGAAATCAGCCCTAAGTGCTCACTGGAAGGACAGATCGTGAAGCTGAGGCTCCAATACTTTGGCCACCTCATGAGAAGAGAAGACTCCCTGGAAAAGACCCTGATGTTGGGAAAGATGGAGGGCACAAGGAGAAGGGGACGACGGAGGACAAGATGGCTGGACAGTGTTCTCGAAGCTACGAACATGAGTCTGGCCAAACTGCGGGAGGCAGTGGAAGACAGGAGGGCCTGGCATGCGCTGGTCCATGGGTTCACGAAGAGGCGGACACGACTAAATAACAACAACAAAGGCCTTGGTAAGGCCTTGAGCTCAGGTCTCCCCATTCCAAGTCCAAAACTCTAAGCCAGCAGTAGCCTTCAGGGTTCCCATATTTAAAAAAATAGAAACACCCAACACCCTGGAAGTTGCTGAGCTTTTTTTTTTTTTTAGACAAACTCCAAGGATCCCTAAGATCCAGGACAAAGAACCTCCTCTCCGAAATTCCCCTTTGAAATTCTGGAAATGTCCAGTAAATTCTGGACGTATGGCAGCCCTAGTTATAGTTTTATTATTAAAGATGCTCACTTTCCATATACGTTTATTTTTATATGAATCCAGACAATATGGAAGTCCTAGAAGGACATTGTTGCTTTGGGAAAGGGAAATCTGTCTGCGGGTTATTGGTTGGTTTTGCTCCTGTTTGGTGTACTAGTGAAGCTGGAAGATGATAGATAGATAGATAGATAGATAGATAGATAGATAGATAGAGAACATGTGGCCTTTCAGAAGTTTTATTGGTCTACAAATCCCATCATCCCCTGCAAGGATGGCTAATGAACAGAGATGATGGAAGTTGTAGTCCAACAAAACTTCTGGAAGGCCACATGTTATCTATCTATCTATCTATCTATCATCTATCTATCTATCATCTATCTCTCTATCATCTATCATCTATCATCTTCCAGCTTCCAGCTTCTCCATCGCTGATATAAATATCTACCTATCCATCTATGTATCTACCTGTGATGGGGAACCTGTGGCCCTCCAGATATTGCTGAACAACAATTCCCTTCATCCTTGATTATTGGTCATCCTGGTGATGGGAGTTATAGTTCAACATCATCTCGAGGGATCCAGGTTCCCCATTCCTGTTTCAATTTTTTTCCTGGTGCCCAGCTGGGACCATTTTCCAAATACGAAAGCCGGACCATTTTTCTCAAATCTCTTTAAAAGAAATAGACCCATTTCAATGAACCTTTCTGTGGCCGTCGATAGCCTTCGTTCGCTGTTACCTCCTGGTTGCCTCTAGACCAGCTGCAAACAGTGACCTGCACCTTGCCAAAAGACAACAGACTCTCTTACCTAGATTGAGAAATGCCCCTCGCTTCTCCAGCTGCGGTTCTGCAAGGCGGTCGCTTGCCAAAGGACGGGAGACGGCCTCCTCCTCTGTCAGTGTCAGCTCTTGCCAGAGCTCCTTGCCAGCTGCTACTAGGCTGCTTAATTGCTCAAATTTATAGAAAAGGCTGTGTCAGTCAAACCACAATGGAGGCAGATCCTTACTTGAACACGCAGCGGCATCAAAGGCGATGGGTTAGAAAAAGGAGCCTCTCGTTCCCAGAGCTAAGTTCAGGGATATTGTGTGGTTTTCCCCCCCCCTCCTTAACATCACCCGAGTGGAACAAAAGGGAGCATCTTGGTGGGGCTGCAGGATCGTGGCAAGGAAAAAATGAGCAGGCCACTGGATCTCACCCCCGCCCTCCTTCGTGGCACTTTCCACCCCCTTGGCATTCAGAATGGTGCAAAGTCAGACTCCCAGGTATCCGTTATCCCAGGGAAAGCAAGAGCTGAGCCAAACACACAATAAGGAAAGGATCCGCCAACAAAACCTTGAGTTAAATTTCACTGCCTTAGCTCCTTTGTTCTGTGAGTATGGAGGGTGGGGGGGTGGCCCGCACATTTCCTAATTCCGTGCAGTGATTATTGCAAGGTGTGCGTAACCATGTAAACTTTGCAAATCGCTAAGGAGTCAGCTGGCCCTTGGTTTTCTGTAAGCATGAACACTGCAGGTGTAAAAAAAAAGGAAAAGAAGCAAAAGTAAGAAAACGGTGCTGTATTTGGGGAAGTCTGCTTGCAATAAATGTGCATATTAGGCAAAATTGCACACCAAACCGTGAATATTCCGTGTGTGTGTGTGTGCGCGTGTGTGTGTGTGTGTGTGAGAGAGAGAGAGAGAGAGAGAGAGAGAGAGAGAGAGAGAGAACTACTGATGAAATTCTCATGAGGAATTTCATAGGAACCTAGGAAGTTGCCTTCTATTGAGGCAGACCCTTTGTCCATCTAGCTCCATACTGTATGCGCTGACT